ATTACATTCCTTACTGTATAAATTAATCTCCACATAAAGGTCACCTCTGTATAACAGAGAAACTTTCTTGTACCAAAGTGTCCATCATAAAGAGGCTATAATGTATTGACTTTTTGCTATTACCTGTACCTTTTTTTGTCTTTTAGGTTAAACTCTACAATGAGAAGAGACAAGATCTTGAAGAACAGCAGTTACATTTAAACATTGGACTCCAAAAAATACAAGAAACTGTACAACAAGTAGAAAGAGTTACAAGCCAGCCTCCCTATAAGAAAAATGAGCTAAAACAAAAGAACATGCTAGCTAACCAGAAACTGAAACAGATGGTTCACAATCAGCAAGAGGCCGAGAAAAAGAAGATAACGTCATAGGAGATACATGTACATGTACAGGTGAGTGTGGTTAGGGGTGTGGCTTGTTTTATCAATGATGAGTATATCATGACAGTCTTCTTAGTATTGAATTGATGAGACAGATTAATTATATATACATGTACATGTACACTGAGAGAAAATTATGATTTATGATTATAAATTATTATATATTTTATATACGTATATACACGTAAATGTACACCATGTACGCTGAAAGAAAATAAATTTAATTATTGCTTAAATTTGTGTATTTTATTTATTTATTCTTTTTGAAGGTTCAAACTCATGATATTGCTCAAAAGAAGGACATTGTATTCAACAATTTGTCCAAAGTGGAACCAGCAGTCAAAGAGGCTCAGCAAGGTAATTAGTGGGTGTGGTTGTAGGCGTGGCCTGTTCCCAATGATGAACACATCATGACGGTCTTCATAATTACGATGATGAGCCAATTCATTTTTAACTGAGGGAGCAAAAATTTGCATGACAGCCCAATAAAATTATTTTACAATATTATTATTATTATTATTATTATTATTATTATTATTATTATTATTGCTATTTCTTTTTGCAGCTGTGAAGGGAATTAAGAAATCCCACCTGGTTGAAGTGAGGGCTTTAAACAACCCCATCAGGTCATCAAGATGGCACTGGAAAGCATCTGCATGCTAATCAGAGAACCTTACACTGACTGGAAGAGTATCAGACAGATTATAATGAAGGAGAACTTTATTCCTACCATTGCTAACTTCTCTACTGAACACATTACAGATGACACTAGGAATAAGATGGAGAATCACGCTAGTAAAGCTTGTGGGTTTTTGGTGAAGTGGGCCATAGCTCAGGTAAGAGAGAGAGAGAGGAGTGTTTTCGTTAAAATCTGCTTTAATTGTGTATATGGAGTTTAGTGATGCATATACACTGTACATGTTCTTTTGTTGTGTGTAAAGTTTAAGGTGATTCCGATTATGAATTTTTAAAGTTACTCAAAAATTGGGTCAAATTCCCTGTACTATAGTACAGGGGCGTTAGCTAAATTTTGCCAAAATTAAAAAGAAGAGAATTCTCAGTTTTTGTAATATTTTCTGATACATATACACGTACTTGTCCTTTTGTTGTGTATAAAGTTTCAGTTAATTTTTTCTTATTTTTTCCAAGAGCGTGGGAATATTTTTGGATTCTTTGTATTTAATTTTTGGAATTTTTTTGTATTTTTTCTCATGAGTGTGGGAGTATTTTTGAATTATTTTATTTTATTTTTTGAATTTAAAAAAAAAATTTTCAGGAGTGTGGGAATTTATTTGGATTTTTTTTTTTAATTTTTAGAATTTTTTATGATTTTTTTCCGAGCATGGAAATATTTTCAGAATAGTTTTATTATTTTTTTTGAAAATTTTTCTGATTTTTTCAGAGAGCGTGGGAATATTTTTAGCTTTCTTAAATTTAATTTTTGGAATTTTTTCGGATTTTTTGTGGAAATATTTTCGAATTATTTTTATATTATTTTTTGATTTTTTCGGATTTTTTTTTGACAGCCTAAGAATATTTTTATATTTTTTTATTTAATTTTTGTAATTTTTCAATTTTTTTATTATGATTGTTATATTATTTTTGGAATATTTTTGTTTTATTTTTGGAATTTTTTCTGATTTTTTTACGAGATCATGGAAATATTTTTGAATTATTTTATTATTATTTTTAGAATTTTTTCTGAATTTTTTCCAACAGCGTGGGAATATTTTTGGATTATTTTAGAACTAAGAACCCTGTCATGAAACACTCATTATTTTATACTCAATCCCTCTAGGACGTTGAGAGCTACGACCCAATCCTGAACCCTGTCCTATTCTAGACGACAACAGGTATCCCCAATTCTAATTATACAAGTAGTAACTTCTAATTATAGTAACAACACATCTAAATATAGTAACAACTATTACATGATGTAATCATTAATGTGTTTATTTTTAGAATCATCACTAATAATAGTAACAATACATCTAAATATAGTAACAAATTATTACATGATGTAATCTTTGTTGTGTCTATTTTTAGAATCATTTCTGAGCTTGAGACTCTTAAGGAAGAGGCTCCAGAA